GTTACTTAAGGCTTCGTGTGGAGTCCGATCGAGGCCCCAGAGGCTCCTCAAGGACCACAGGCAGCTTCCAGGAGCCGGACACAGTGCCTGGTGCCGTTCAGACGGAAGATGCCCACAGGGCGCGCACATCCCTCCCCTGAGCTGGTGCCAAGCCTGCTGCCAACTCCCCGCGGATGTCCGAGCTATACCAAGCGATAACCCGAGCCAGCCGCTGGGGAGCCACAGTGTAGCCACGCCCTGGGCTCTGGGGCTCCTGCCCCCAAGGAGGAGGGCGAGGCCGGCCCAGCCCACTGGGCAGCAGGTGGACGACGCGGCCATTTCCCCCTCCCCCACGAGCCTCTCTTCATCCTGATTCAGAATCTGTAATTTAGGGGCCAAAGGCTACTTGGCCAGAAACTTAGCTGAGACCCTCAAGTTCTTGGGCTGGGAGGCTTCAGGCATGAAGAAACACTCCGTGATGGAAACCTGGAGTCTGAACGGGCCTTGCTCTGCCTCCCAGAGGGTGTGGAGGAGAACCAGGCTGGACTTCTCGGAGCCACTGCCGCCTGTGGCCATCGAAAAATCCCTGCCAAATGGCTTTTTTTGTTTAAATAGTGTGAATATGTGCACAAAGTCAAGAAATAAAAATAAAAATAAAAAGGGAGGGGAACCACACTAAAGATTACAAAACAGAAAGCAAAACCTTCTTGCCTACGTGTACCTCCGCCCCTCGCCTCCTCTCCCCCAAGGAAACCATCCTGAATCTATTTAAAATTTTAACTTGCTACATGTCATTCCACGTAGCCAAACAGGGTCCTTTCTTAAGTCTCCTGTGGCCTCCGGGCTTCCCGACCATGGTCCCTGAACCTGCCATTAACTGGCTTATAGACAGAAAGCTTCAGAACGAGGAACAACCACCAAAATGGGTCGCTTTGTTCGGGGCTAAGAGCTCCGGCTGTGGTGGAGGCACTCGGTGACTCAGTTTCCCCATGACACAGACATTTGAGTGGGACTTTTTACCCCTCCTAGGAGACTGTTGGAAAGCCAGATAAGGATGGAGGCAGGGTTCCCCCGAGGTGAGGGAGGCCTGAGCGCATGGGGAGGTGAGCCAAGGGTCCCCTTTACCTCAATGGTCTGGACGCGGTGGAAGAAGGTGTTGATCCTGGAAAACGCAAGGGACGAAGGGAATTCCCAAGGCACGGGCTCCTTGTCCCTCTGGGGGGAGAGAGAGAGAGAGAAAAGGCCGCGATGACTGCCGACCTGTCCATGGGGTCCAGCGCTGGGGCCCCCGTCACCCCGGCCCCGTGTCTGCCCGAGCCCCTCTCTGCGCACAAGGCGTACCTTGAAGAACAGCTTCATGTTTGCGCAGCAGAAGTCGTAGGCCCGGTACAGCTCCTTCAGCACGTTCACTGACAGAGAGATGGCGCCCAGGACCTCTTCGATTTCACCCTCCAGGCCCTTCAGCACCTCCTCGGGGCTCAGGTAGGTCCGTGTCTGGGCCATAGGGAAGACGAGCCGTCAGGGGACGTCCAGGCGCAGCGCCCACAGCCGTTTGACCGGTTAGAACAACCCGCCACGGCCCCCCCCACCAGCCACCCCTCTGACACATCCGCTATCCCCCAGGCTCCTGTCCAGGCTGCCTGATGACTGAGGCCTGGGCCATTTTCGGGAGCCTGAGCCGTTTCTCTCGCCGGGCCCCTCAGACCAGGCCAAGGCTGCAGCACAACCTGATTTGGGTGGCAGATGACTAGGGTCCTTCTAGGAATCCAGCCGCAGGATCCAGGGTCACCAGGTCCTTCTGGGCCTGCAGACAGCCTGGGGTTGCAATGCTACAACTCAAGACTTTTGGTGACTGGCTAATGTGTGCTCGAGCGGAGAGGACAGGGAAGGGGTCCATGCTGAGGGGGACAGGAGGCAGCTTGACGTAGGAGCAGATAAACCCCACAAAGCCCCCAGCCAGGTCTTGGGGTGCTGGTGTACCTGAGCAGGACCCTGCATGGCCCTCCAGGGACAGACCCTCCCCCATACCCTCTGCTGTAGCTCCTCCCTGAAGCACCCAGATAGCAGTATCTGATGCACGTTCCTGACTTGTTTTGCAGGTGCTAAATCCCCCACCAAACAGAAGATGTCAGCTCCCTGATGCCCACGAGCTGGTAGCCCCTAGACTTACTGGAGTCTAAGGATGGTTCCATTAACCCCTATGACACCACCCTGCTACCTCGCCATCAACCTGTCAGAGAATGGTACATGAGCTGATCACATTCTGAGAGCCCCTCCCTCACTGGCCTTTAAAAATGCTTTGCTGAACCATTTACAACAGCCAAGACACAGAAGGAACCTAAATGTCCATCCACAGGTGACTGGATAAAGAAGTTGTGGTATATGTACACATTGGAATACTAGTCAGCCATAAAGAAGAATACAGTAATGCCATTTGCAGCAACATGAATGGACCTAGAGATGATCATACTAAGTGAAGTTAAGTCAGACAGAGAAAAAAGTGTCATATGATATCACTTATATATGGAATCTAAAAAAATGACACAAATGAACTTATTCACAAAACAGAAACAGACTCATAAATTTGTTTCATAAGAAAATAAACATGGCTGTCGGGAGGGAGGATGAGGAGGGGTGAATTAGGGGTTTGGGACCAGCAGGCAGACACTACTATGTATAAAACAGTTAAACAAGGTCCTACTGTACAGCACAGGGGACTAGATTCAATCCCTTGTAATGGCCTATAATGAAAAAGAATATTAAAAAATACACATACACGTACGTGTGGATATAACTGAATCACTACGCTGTACATCAGAAACTTATGCAACATTGTAAATCAACAATACATCAGTTAAAAAAAATATATATGCCTTGCTGAAACCCATAGAGGAGTGCAGGCTTTGAGCTCTAGCTGTCCTGGACTCCTTGTGTGGCACCTTACAATCAACTCCACACAGGTTGGCTTTACTGCACACAGGCGAGTGGACCCGAGTTTTGGTTTGGTGACACTGGGACTCAGTGGGCAGCCCCGCTTTCTTTCCGCCTCCCCACCGTCATGGGGCAGGTAGTGGAGAACTCTAAGTGGCCACACCAAGCAGCCTCAAAGCCCTAGCCCGGAGCCTGTACATCCCTGTACCGACATCTTTGTCTGTTTTTAAGCCGCTGGGGAGCAAGGGCGGGCAGGGAGGGAGGCCGGGGCCAGTGGGGCTACCATCTCAATGAGCTGGTTGCAGAACTCCTGCAGGATGACGATGATCCTGGAGGGCGTGTTGTAGTGCCCGGAGGTGGCCCAGATGAAGCAGACGGTGCACAGCACCTTGGTGATGAAGGTCGGCAGCTGGGGAGAGACAGGCCGGGCATGCGCTGGGTCGCAGAGTCTCAGCTCTCCCCTCCCTGTGGCTCTGGGAGGGGACCTCCCCAAAGTGGAAGGAAGAGGCACCCCCTAGGTCCTCGCACCTGATCCCAGGCAGGAAGCCTGCAGCCCCTGCTCACCCAGGACACGAGGTCGGCCCCTGCCAGGTGACCCTTCTCTTGCCAACCTACCATCGTGAAGTCGGCCTGTTCCATCTCCTCCAGCAAGATCTGCAGAGGCTTCAGATACAGGACAATATCGCTGGCTTCCTTCAGGCCTGCCCAGGACAACAGGCACTCAGCCTCGTGTGAGTGAAACCCGGCCCCCATCCCCAGTCAGGCTCTGTGTGTTTATGGACACCAGCTCTCTCAAGAAACAGGGTCTTCCTCAAAGGCAGGGGCCAAGGAAGCTGCTTATGGGGAGGACTTCCCCTCCCCTGGAGTTCGCGATGGGCCTGCCCAGCCCCTCCCAGAAGGCGCCGACACCTTCCTGGGGGCTGGGGGAGTTCTCGAAGGGCCCCCTGCTCACCTTCTGTGACGTTCATATACACGTTTTGCAGGGCTGGCCAGTAGCAGCTTTTGGCTTTTTCCAGGATCTCGACGATTTTGTTCACTTTAGGCCTGTTGAGCTGAGACAAGAGAAGCAGAAAGTCACAGACCCTGGATGAAGGCTGCCTGACCAACCCTGCTGGAGCTGAGGGGCTCACAGGGGTTCCCCGGGTCCCCTCGGGGGTCAGCGAGGGGAGTCTGGGTGCTCAGGACTCCGCCAGCCGCTGAGCAGCGGGCGCCCAGCACCGGGGCAGAGCCGGCACCTGCTCATGGATGCACTTGAGGTTCCTCAGCCGGCTGTCCCAGAATTCAAACTCTGCTTGGGGCAGGGGGTGCCGCCCGTCCAGCAGGGCCTGGGCTGAGTCTTTGCTCAGCACGTCCCGGATCTGGTGGGACCAGTCGATGATGATGGTTTCGATGGCGTGCAGCAGCGAGTTGTCCAGGGTGGAGGGGATCCTGCAGAGCAGGGGGGCGGGGGAGATGCTCTCAGCCACACGTATATGGGGTTCTTCCTGCTCTGCCCCTTCTGGGCAGGGACCAGCCTGCCCCCAGCGGCCCCGAGCCAGGAGAGACCCTGAGCCAGCGCTGGGCATTGCCAGGCATGCTGGTGGCCCCAAGAAAGAGGAGGAGGAGGACCTGATCTGGAATAAAATCCACATTCATGATGGCTCCTCTGGCAGCTCTGGTTGGGTCACACCCTGGGGCATGTGATGGGAGCTTGAGGTCACCACAGAGGACCTGCCCTAGAACGGCCCTGCAGGAGCGGC